GGCTAGTTTGGGAGAGGTTAATGACCTTATATATATACATTTGTTTGAGCAAAAGAAAAAACACACACCAAAATCTTAGGGAAAAGAGTCAAATATGCTTTAATGTTTGCTCCACTTAATCAAAAGACAAATAAAATATCTACTCCCTTTGTTCGTTCTTATTTTGATCAAGTGTAAAAATAAGAAAGTGTTAAATTATACTCCATCCGTCCCGTGAAACATGGAAGTTTTGTTTTTTAAGAGAGATTTAAGGGGAGTGTATTTTGGTATTAAATTTCCAAAAATGTCCTTTGATGTGATGGGTAAAAGTATGATTTGATGGATAAATTATTAGTAATAAGTTATGATGTGATAGTTAGGGTATAAAAAGTAAGGGGTAAAAGTGACTTTTTTATAGAATGAGAAATGTTTTGTGGGACAGATAAAAAAAGAAAGGAGAAAGGTTTAATGGGACGGAGGGAGTAGTTAATATTTAATTTTGCCCCTGATGTGATGGGTAAAAGTAAGATGTGAATGATATATTATTAGAGAAAAAATATAATGTGATAGGTAGGGTAGGAAAAAATAAAGATAAAAGTAGCTTTTTAATAGAAAGTGGAAACATTTAGTTAGAAGTGAAAAAAATAAAAGAGAAAACATATTTTGAGAAGGAATGGAATAACCTTTTTACCCTACTCATAATGGTTTGAGTTTTATTGGTAAACTTAGCATTGGAGTTTACTGTACTAATACTATATCTGGTTTGCTTAATATGCACGGTTATTTCTCAAGGTTTCAAAACTTACATCTCTACCCTTTGTGGATTTAATATTCATACACCGTATCGCTGTCTCTCTAGATTAAAATACCCTTTAAATATTAAATAAATAGTCTCGTTATCTACTACTCCGTATGATTTTGGAAATAGGCACCAACACCCCACTCCTTTTTTTCTTTATTATTTTTCTTTTTTTCTTCTATTTTTTCATCAATATTTTTGAAGATCTTTTTTAAAACTTTTTTAAATGTTTTAAAGTTCTTTTTTTAAAACTATTTTTATACTGCGTAATGATTTAATAATAAAAAAAATTGTGTTTGAAATAAAAAATTAATTAAAATAAAAAAATTAACATACACTTCATTTGTCTCAAATTAAATAATTTTATTTCATCCAAAAGAGATTCTTATTGGTTTATTTTCATGATACAAAAGTCAATGAAAATTTTCACTTTTTTTACACAAAAGCTTATTTCACATTTTCTATTTTTAGTTATTTTTCTCTTCCTGGTTTAAAAAAAATAATTTTATAAAGTTTCTTTCATTTAAATCAAAATTAAAATAAAAGAAAAAATAATATGAAAAAAAAATCAAAAAGAAGAAAAGTGTATGAAAAAAATACTTTTATAGAATAGGAAAAAGAAGTTATGAAATTTTTTAGCATCGATTCAAAAAATATATGAATAATTAGTTAAATAAATATTAAAAACACTTTACTTTTTATTCTTTTGGACCCAACATATTAAAAAAATAATAAATTTTTAGAAAAATGAAAATGGTTAATTTGAGACAAATGAAGTATATTTTGAAATTTGTATCTCAAATACCAACAAATTTTATTTTTTTAAGACATTTTAAAAACATAGTTTTAATTTGAAAAAAAAATATTTTCATTATTTCAAACACAATCATCTTTCTTCTTTTTAAGAAAAAAAGAAAAAAAAATTAAAAGAGAGAGAGAGCGTTGGTACACATTTCCAAAATCATAGGGGGCAAGGAAGCTATTTTAGTGTTTCCTCCGTCCCACAAAACGTTACCCATTTTGAATTGTATTTGGTCAAACAGTTATACGCTTTGATTACAAATTGTCAGAAAAATATATTTAATTATAATACTCTCTCCATCCCAAAATGTCAGTCCCGTTTTGAAAAATTTGCGTCCCTCAAACACTACAAAAAAAGAAGGCAATACCGACAGGGATCAATATGTCGCTAATGGTTAAATATCCGTCTCATTTATATTAAAAATTCACTTTTACCCCTTACTTTTTCATACCATACCTATCACATCATACCTTTTTCGTAATAATTAATCCATCACATCTTACTTTTACTATCACATCAAGAGTATTTTTGAAAGTCAACACAAAATTATCCATCCTTATTTTACCATTTTAGTCAAAATGTCCCAATCTTTTTGGGACGGAGGGAATATAAATTTAATATAATCAGATTCACCTTAAGACATAGTTTTGATATATCAAATTTTTGTAACATTTCTTTATTTAGATTATATTTAGTTTATGGTCAAATCGTATAAATATTTGACCAAAAATACATCAAAATATATGGCTAATGTTTTGTGGAACGGATGGAGTATTATTTTTATGTTTTACTCTAAGCAAGGTAGATTTCTTCTCTAATAACGTACTTCCTCGGTCATGTCGTCTCATCAAAGGTTCTGAATTGGAAGAGATCACCCTGAATAAAAGTAAAACCTAAAAAAACCATTAAAATAAGAGTCTTATATTTTTATTTCCTAAATAAGGGTCGAGTTCGCACTGTAGTAATGTGACACTGTACATAGACATTTTTTGTAATGTACATAGTCATGTTTGGTAGTGTAAATGCATTTTAACTCCTATTTCAAGAATAAAAATATAGAACTCTTATTTTAATATATTTTTAATATTTCACTCCTACCTTGATCTTTTTCCTTTAAATTTTAAATAAAGTAAAATTGTATTGTTGAAAATCATGCAAGGGAAGGAGAAATTATAAGTTTCACAATTTTTTTATAAAAGTGAAAAATGAAACCTTTTTTTGAGAGAAATGGTGGGTAGGTTTTAAATTTTTTATATAATCTTATTTTGCAAATTAAGAAAATTTATATACTCAGGGGTAACTATATTAAAATAATAACATAATTAAACATTATGGAGTATATATATCTAATTAATGGAGTGTTTTCAATATCTTAGCGGGTAAAAATCAAAATACCCTAATGTCAAAGTAGGTAAAAAAAAACTTAAAGTGTTACTTTTACACATAAAATAGAAAAAGTAAGGTCTTCACTGCTATTTTCACCGTCACGCAACATATCATTAATGTAACCACTAACCAGCATAACACATCATGCAATTAATTACTCCCTCCATCTCAATATAGATGTCTTAATTACCGTACTATTTTGATCTCACATCAATTTTTATTTATTTGTATATTTTCATTGATTATATGATAAAAGAAATTCTTTTACCACATAATCTTTTATTTTATACTCCGTAAATTTTTTAAGAATTTACACATTGTTTGGAGAGCAACATCTATTTCCGACAAAGGTAAATTTTATTATTTGATCGTCGCAATTGGTAAAAACTGATTTGAGTAAGCACGAAGTGTGACGTATGCTAAATTAAATCTATCGCTAATTATTACTCCCTATACTACACAATTGAAATCGTTTTCTAATCAATAAAAGCAGTGGTAATACCCCTCACGCCCACTAGCGTGATTGGGGTGTTTAACACCGGGGGCGTTAAACACCGTCCCCCCTTGGCGTGACACAGGCGTGAGCGAGGTTTCGTCATTCGTTTGACGCGCAGCATCCCTCCCCATTTAGCCGTTACCTTCCCCCCAACGGCTATATAGCCGT